AATTTTATGGAGAAGATGATGCTTATTCTGAGCCTTGAGGACTGTGTAGAATTAGCTTAGAGTCCTGCATTCTAGACATAGAGACCTGAGTTTGTAAGAAGACAGAGGCGTGAACCTGAAAGAAGGTATAAGTTACCTGGGTTCATACGTGTCCAGCTGGAGCAGAAGGTGCCCACGGGACAGACAAGAAAGAGGGCTGCAGAGGGAGACGGAGCCCAGGTCCCGAAGGCTTCCTAACACTTAGCCAAGGAGTTTGAGTTTGATCCTGAAAGTTGTGAATTTGAAGAAGGTGAAATTTGCATTTTAGAAAGAGATCTCTCTGGGAGAATTATAGCCAAGAGATTGGAGGGAAGCCAAGTAGGCTATTTCTGCAGGAATCTAAGTGAAAAGAGAGTGCCTGTACTGTGCCCTTGGCAGAGGATAGAAGAAAGACAGTTCCAAGACTGATAAGAGTGATTTAGGAGGTCAAATTGAAACAATGTGGCAGCCAGTGAGATGTGAGGCATAAGGAAGAGGAATCTCGAATGACTGAGATTTCTGGCCTTTATAACTTATAACTTGGCATCATAGTTTGTGTATGTGTAGGTTCTGTGTCCCTCACTAGAGTGTAAACTCTGATAAAATTATATACCTTCTTCATCTCTAAAGCCTCACATGGTAGGAGCTTAAGGCGTGGTCCAGGAAGACATGAATAAAGAAGGGTGTTAAAGTAGAGCACTGGCGTTGTAATCACGCTCCCTGGGCAAGGACTCATGGTAGCTCTTGCCTTAGGGAATAAATAACTGGGAAGCACACAGTATACACTAAGGAAATGGAAACAACAGTCTCAACCATTGATACAAATGGGATGGGACTAGGGTTAAGAATAATTTAAAACATCACCCACAATTTGAATATAATGTTCCCCTTGAGGGTCACATTATGAAAAAAGTCCTAGAAGCCACAGAAATGGACATAAGCCATAACCCTTGTCCCTTGGGTAGAAAATCTATTGTCATTTATGTAATAACAAGCGTGGCTGCTGTTTGAAATCGACAGAAGCCATTCAGTCCTAGACCACACGATCCGTGTGGAATATTGCCAGGTCCGTCGCCATTGTATCCCCAGCACCTGGCATGGAGTCCCACACACAGGAAATGCTCAGGACACATCACTGGAAGAACGAAGACGAACTCCTAGAGTTTTACCACTGGAGACGCTCTTACTTCCCTGCTTTGCCCTCCCTGATAATTAGTATCATGATTGTGACAGTCAGTTAAGGCCCACTCATTCCAAAGCTTTCTTCATGGTATTCCCAAGATGGCAGGGAATCCTATTACTCATTGGTGACTCTTCCCTCTGTTTCCCAGCCTTCTGGTCCAGCCTGAACATTTTATTCTTCTTGAGCTTGTGTGTTTTCTCCTCCCTTCATTGTCTGTTTTATCTTTTTCTTTCCAGTCCCTTTGATGGGAAGGGTAACTTCCTGAATGGGGGGCTACATATAAAATGGGTGTTCCCCTTATTGAATAAAAATGCAGATAACACAATATTTTTATTGAGACACCTCCCTCCATGTACCCACCACAAGCCCAGAAGTATAGCAATACTTTTATCATTTTATGCCCCTGATATTATGAGGTCTGTACAATCATGTCCTTTACAATTCTGATTCAGATGCATTTGAGAACCAATTATTTGATTTCCATTTTTCTCTTTTTCACCTGGATATGGAATTTGAAGCCCTTTTAAGCACTTCCATAGGACAAAAGCACCTAGTGCCCTGCAATACAGAAGAGGGCAGAAGACAACGTCAGTAACAGTGCAGACACTTCTGAAAACCCAGATGTGTTCTCATCCAGAGTCTTATTAGAATGTATGTGATTCTCATGCTGCAGTTTAAGAAAGACTTTTTTATTTTTTGTCAATATTTTAAAATTGTGGTAAAATAAACATACCACAATATTTACCATTTTTACTGTACAGTACAATTGTGGTAACTACATTCACATCGTTGTTCAGCTAATCTCCAGGACTCTTTTCGTCTTGTAAAACTGAAACTCTATACCCATTAAACAATTCCTCATTCCTCCTTCTCCCAGCCCCTGGCAGCCATAATTTTACTTTCTGTCTCTGTGGATTTGACTACTCTAGGTACCTCGTATAAGTGGAATCATATGGCATTTGTCTTTGTGGGACTGGCTTATTTCACTTAGCACGGTATCCTCAAGGTTCATCCATGTTGCAGCATGTGTCAGAATTTCTTTCCTTTTTAAGGCTTAATAATATCTCATTGTGTGTGTGTGTGTGTATGTGTGTGTGTGTGTGTGTGTGTGTGTGTATGTGTATTTACACACACCACGTTTTGCTTACCCATTTATCTGTTGTTGAACACTTGCATTGCTTCTACCTCTTGGCTGTTGTAAATAATGCTACTATGAACATGGCTGTACAAATATCCCTTCAAGATCCTGCGTTCAATACTCTGTAGTTTATACCCAGAAGTGGAATTGCTAGATCATATAGTAATTCTATTTTTAATTTTGTGAGGAACTGGCATGCTGTTTTTCATTCCATTTTACATTTTTACCAACAGTGTACATGGTTAAAATTTCTCCACATCCTCACCAACATTTGTTATTTTCTGTTTTTTCAATAATAGCCATCCTAATGGATATGAGGAAGAAAGGCTTTTTTAAAGTTCCAAACCAAATCTACTTTCTATTTGCTTATACAT